ACTATATATTAACAACTGCTAAAGAACTGAAAATGTTATATTAAAACATCTTAAATGTTTCCCAAAATCATTACAAAATATGTTAGATTCTTGTTGTTGGTAGATAATAATGGGTAATTTAGAAAGCCCTAATCACAAAAAAGTGCAGTCCTGCTTCTTGTTTCAATTATCCTGCATCTCTGTGGGCAAGAAATGGAATTACTGTAAATAAACAAATATGCTACCTTTTAAATAAATGCAAATTACTATACGACTATAAACTAGAATATTATTATCATACAATGAAATCAGTATCATCTGCTTAGAGCCACAATCTGTTGTGAAAAAAAAAAAAGCGTACTTCCACTCTTTAGCTTGAGAACAGCGTCCCCTAAAGGCCAAAACACTCTCACGTCATGAAAATCTTATTTTGGAGTCAAATTCTTCAGGCTAAAATAGTACTGCCAAGCATTAAAATTATAGCAATAAGCCTGGCATCTTTCAGATTTTTTAATGAAGTAGTTTTTTTTCAACTCTTGGATTTTTTTTGTTCTTTTATAATTTTATATTACACTGATGTTAATATATTTGTGCCTTCTGTCCCTCAGATAATTTTCAGGATCAAATGAAAAGGGAGCTCTCCTACAGAGAGGAAATGGTTCAGCAGCTTCACATTGTTAGAGGTGAGACAAATAAAGCAGAGGGAGGGTTTCAGAGGCGCTTTTACATCTAGTTTCTATAACATTAAAAGTTGTGTATTTTTAACATTATGGGTGCATACTTTCACAAGAAATTTAGTTTGTTTGTCTCTGCAACTTTGTGCAAACATGCCTGAGTAACAAATTGAACTGATTTGCTTTTTAACGGTAGCTGAGTACAAAATTAATTTTAAAAATAAAAACGAAAAATCTAAGGATTTTTTATTACAGTGTAATTATAAAGTTATTTGTGATGCATCCCTGTTTCTTTTGCACAAACAGACAGAGATGAAGGTGGTTTCCACCAGAGGCTCACAGAAAGACACTTAAACTCACATTTTGTATATAAATCCTTTCTTTGGGAATAAAGTGTTTGAAGCTTAGCCTGTAATTGTACACCCGTGTGTTTGTACATTATTGATTGTTTTACCTCCTTCTCCTTAGAAGCTCACGACGCTTTACACCATTTCTCCTGTAAGATGTTAACTCCTCGCCACTGTACAGGATCCTGCTCCTTCAAGTCTCCTCTTCTTCCACCATGAGTCGGACGTRCTTACAGGACAGAGGACAACGTCTGATTCTCATGGAAAAATAATAACAATATCAATAACAATAGAGAAAAGGAAAAAAAACCTCTGAGGAGTTGAACTGAACTAACCTGTAATTACTGTAACATTTGGAAAACGTGTATTTCCTCCCTCAGTATTTATGAATCAATTTTACATATACAGTGGGATTTCTTTTTACTGAATTCATGCCATTGTTTATGTTTATTTGTTTGTGGCAAAGTGCAATGAAAATGAATGTTCTATATTTTGTGGGTTTTAAACAGCAAGTTGCATTGCTTCTTTTCCCCCCTCTCCCTCTATTATAAATAAGTTTGCTGTTTATTCGTTTATTTATGTGGAAAAGTTGCTGACACTGGATGTAATGCACTTTACACAAGTGATTGGAGTAACCATAAAAATCCGGCTTTGAGTTTGTCCGACAGTATTATTTATTTTGTAGAAATGTTTGTTTCTGAGGGCTGCACAAATGCAGAGATGAGCTGCGACCTTAGGTGGGTACTGACATGTTTTATTGAAAATAGCCTATTTGTCTCTGTAAACATTTGTTTTCATCACTAAAAAATAAATCAGTTTATTAAAGGATATCTTTTGTTGTTGTTGTTAATCCAACCCTTTCCCCCCATTTTTTCTGTTTATACTTTATGAAAATAGTTTCAAATGTGATCAATATGCCTGTATTTTGTCCGAAAAAAAAATCTAAAAATGTTCAGACCAAAAATTATCTGAAAAAGTCACATATTCACACAACTTGATGATATGTCACACTTTTCAAATATCAGTGAAAGATTTCCAATGTGCCAATTATTAAAACTAATAATGGATATCATCAGAAATCCTCGACCAGTTTACTTTGGAGGTAATTAAAATATCAAAAAGAACCATTTATTAGTCATTCAACCAGCTACAACAAAAAATATAAAAACAAAATGAGTATACACAACTTCTTGGGTTTCCCTCCACTTAATTCCATGATGATGAAGCTTTAAACAATTTCAATTTAAAGTTTGGACATTAGAGCGCTTGTGGTCAAAACTATGTTTGGCAAGCTGGTTTATCACATTAATGTTAGACAGGATTCTAGCAGGATTCTGTTCTGGTAGTTTTGGAGGTGATGTTCTGTAAAGTAGATATCAGTTCTTCGTAGCCTAACTTATGAGCATACATTAATCACAGAACATGGATCATCAGGAAAAGGTCAGAGGTTTTTCTCCAGTATTGGCTAGCCATTAGCAGCAGCAGATCGACATTGGCGTAGTAGTGACACAAATGTTGTTTGATCGAAAAATCAGTGCCAAATTATCAAATAGTGTCATTCAAAAGTGTAGCAACTTCATCCATTCATCCATGCGTGGCATTTTTCAGAAAGAGTTGCTTTGTAACCCTGAAAAACTAAATTAAGTGGTCCCTATTTTTGGCTATCCATTTGAATAGCCTCAAAAAAGGCTTTGGTCTCTTTAATTTTCACTGACAGAACTGAGAGAAGCGTGTGATTCAACTTTTACAACCGCCTGCCTTAATCGTCCCCTGCTGTGTTGCAGCAGCGCCTCCTGTTGGGGGAACTATAGAAGAACGTCCCGGTCCCTTGAGGATGGCTGGGCTGCGCCTGCGCACCAAGTGAAACAAGATGGCCGAGAGTGCGGAACTGAAGGTAAAGCAAGTCTTTACATTAGCTTGACAAATGGACGTTTCACACATCAAAAGAGGAATTTCTCATGATGGCAAATTTATTATTTGACAGTAGAAAGCCGAACCGTGTTGGTATGAAAGCATACAATAGGAAAACAGTAGAGCAGAAGAAACCAGACAACTGTTAGCCTGACTGCTAGCTCGTTAGCATTAGCTTTGTTATTGTTGCCGACGTTCCGTTAGAATCTCTCCCCTTCTCATGAAGCTTTTGTTGCTTTTAATAGAAATGAAACCAAGTGTTTTGTCAGTATTTTCAACTCATCCGCATCATAGTGTCAAGTGCTTTTCATGATTATTATTAGATCACCTTGCGGTCGACAGTGTCTTGTAAAAGCGGGCTATGTCTACTCCCTGGAAACCAAGCGCAGGTTCATGGTTTGTTTTATTGTGTCTTTCTGAGAAATGCTGATTGCCTTATTAAACATTTTTATAATGTAGATTATGTCTGCTGTATTTGTTTAAACAGATGAAGTGTATCTAAAACTGATTTAGTTTGGTCGATGGTAGCTAGTTCGTTGTCTCACTTCACTTTTTGTTTCTTTCCTGATATCGTTTGTTGTTAATTGTAATATAATACTTTTGGTTTTAAAATGTAGCTATTTTGAACTGTCTTAGACCCAAAAATCAATGAGTACAATTGGATCTCCTCCGTTGCCCAGGTTGTAGCTGCATTCGTGTAAAGGACATTTTAGTTTAGTTCATGCTAGAAAAAGTGTTCTTTAAACGATCAATAATCATATTCACTAGTTATGTATAGTGTATACTTTGAAAAAGTTACATTTTGCAGGTTATTCATGTTATAAAGAGACTGGAAAGAAAAATTAAACAGGGCTTTTAGTAGTGACATTTAGTAGTTCATATTTGCAGCTTTGCATTTTATGTGTATTATATTATCACTATAAAAGTCAAAAAGAGATTTTACTCTATACTGAGTGCACATATCCAACCTGCTTTTTCTTAACACATCCTCGTTATTTACAAAGCCCATTGCAAGAGGAAACATTGGTTTTATTTGTAAAAGTCTTATAAAAATAAACTAAAACAGGAAAAAGCTACCTAATAGAATAGAAAGGTTTTTATTTTTATTAGAGAGAGAGAGAGAGATTTCATAGACTTCTTTCCTCACTTTTTATTTTTTCACCAGCAAATGGTAATGAGCCTTCGAGTTTCTGAGCTCCAAGTGTTGTTGGGCTATGCAGGACGGAATAAACATGGGCGCAAACATGAACTTTTGACCAAAGCTCTCCACCTACTCAAGGCTGGCTGCAGTCCTGCTGTGCAGATGAAGATCAAAGAACTCTACAGACGGCGCTTCCCAACCAAAATGGTTTCGCCGGTGGACCTCGCTCTTCCCGTTGTCCATTCTGCATCCAGTTTGCCCACAGGCCTTGCCCAGCTGGGGTTTGACAGCCACGGTTCTCCATCACCACTGCTGCCTGTTTCTCTACTTGGACCTAAGCATGAGCTGAGTCTGCCTCACCTACCCTCCGCCCTGCACCCTGTACACCCTGATGTCAAGTTGCAGAGATTGCCATTCTACGATGTACTGGATGAGCTTATTAAGCCAACCAGCCTGGGTGAGTTTGCCTCATCTTGCTCAGCTGTGTGTTCTGTGGTATGACTTCTCCCTCTTGTACATACCATTGATGTTTGTAGTTATTAATATTGAAACAAAGGCCTGTGACACTAGTGCTTAAGAATTTTTCTAGCTTCCTCAATAGCCTGTTTTGGTTTCTTTTTTTGTCAAGTTTCAGACAACAGTCAGCGATTCCAGGAAGCATGTTACGCCTTTGCATTAACACCACAGCAAGTTCAGCAGATCAGCAGTTCAATGTAAGTTAAAATGGTTCAAAGTCACAAAAAAAAAGAAAACTAACTGTAAAAATATGTTATTACTATAACTATTTTGAAATTATGTAGTGAATATGTGTAACTGTTATGATTAACAGGACTTCATTTATTTATTTATTATTTATTTGTTGTTTTAGGGATATATCTGGGACCAAATGTGACTTTGCTGTTCAAGTTCAGTTAAGGTATTTCTAATTCTGAATGTGTGAGTGAGTTTGATATTAATTATAGCTTGTCTGTTTTAATCTTTTCTTGTTTCAAACAGCCCAAAATAGCAGCAGTACATGAATGTTTACTCTTCATTTTTTTAAAGTCAAAGCTGCACTTTTCAGAAATATATTTTTAACTTGTTTTCTATTTGTCTTATTGTAAATTTAAAACTTAATTGTGTTTTAGCGCCTGGCTCAGATTACTTAAGACAAATCACTAAAATAGCATGTTCTGAATTATGAAACTTCTGGTTTGAAGAAGCACATGAACTAAACGATAGTACCCTGTAGGTCAAATTTAATTGTAAAACTATAGCACACCTTACAGAAAACAGCTGCCATAAAGAGGCATCATTTTCTCTTAAGGTTCAAAAAAGAAGGAATGACCTACTTTAAGAAAAACTTTCTTTTATCAAAGATATAAATGTCTGATAGAACTGATATGATAAAATAAACAAGCAAGCAAACCTCAGTGTGAAAGCAGTACCTCTAAACAAACAAGTAGATTTAGACATTTGTTTCAGGACAGGACATTTTTCCAGTTATCACTTTAATAATTATTTTAAAATCCTTTTCAGATTTTGCTTATCAGAGACTAGCTGTCCGCAGGAAGACCATTTCCCCCCCAATCTGTGCGTGAAGGTCAACGGCAAACCCTGTAATCTCCCAGTGAGTTCACTCATATTATTTGAACATCTTGTGAATATTTCCAAGCGTTATTCCATCTGTTGCTAAAAATCTCTTGTTGTCTGTAGGGATATCTTCCTCCCACCAAAAATGGTGTTGAACCGAAAAGGCCCAGTCGTCCCATTAATATAACATCTCTTGTCCGGCTGTCCACCACAGTTCCCAACACAATTGTAGTTTCTTGGACTTCAGAAATTGGGAGGGTAAGACTGTTATACAAAAAAAATAGAAATGTTATCAAACAGTCTGTGAATCATTGGCGTAATTTGTGCCTGTTTTTTCTTTGTTCAGAGTTTTTCGATGGCGGTATATTTGGTAAGACAGCAGTCGTCTGCAGTGTTGTTGCAAAGACTACGGGCCAAAGGAATCAGGAACCCTGACCACTCAAGAGCTCTGAGTGAGTTAAAAAATACTTTTTTATTTTATTTTTATAAAACAGTCTGACTTGAAATAGCTGTAAATATTGGACATCAAATATTTTATCCTCTTTTTGATCATTTTCACAATTACTGAATGTTTAAACAAATCAATTTGACCCGAAGGAGGAGCTTTTTTTTTTTTTTTACATTTTAAAAAGTAAATCTTTTCATGTATCATGTTAGTTGTAAAATTTGGGAGGTTCTACCAATCAACACATTGTATATCAAGCAAATGATTGAGTCTGTATCTCTGTAGTAATACCAAGGAGTACAAACTTGATTATTTCACCTAAACTGCTTTGAAAATTTGTGCACCTATAAAAAATGTATAAGATTGGTTTCAAAATTAATTCTTTAATTCTGCCATTTTATCTGTGGCAATAAACTGTTGTAAGATTTCGGGTCTTAAACTTTTTTTATTGTTGTTATTATTCATTTTTATGAAGGTAAATACAGTGTGTTTTTGTATTTTTGTGGGGGTTTTTTTTCCATTGGCGTAAACCATTGCCTGTACTTGCCAGTACATTTATAAAGAAGAAATTGTAAATTTCATATTTCCTTCGTTAATAAAGGTTAAATTAAAACACATACATACATGTGTAATTACAGCAGAAAGTTGAGTTATTGTTTTTAACATCTCTTGTTTTAATTTCATCTCACAGTCAAGGAGAAACTGACCGCTGATCCAGAGAGTGAGATTGCTACAACCAGTCTACGAGTTTCTCTCCTCTGTCCTGTAAATACTTTTCATTACTACTCTGTTCWAGCTTCCTGTTTAATTTTTTTGTAATAAACAGCATTTTAGTTTGTTATACACTGCATTCACTGTTCAGTTAAACTAAAACCACAAAATCAAAATACACATAATTATGAAGTGCTGTTAAGGTTTATTGACATATTTCATTAAGTTAAATTTTGCTTCCTCCTGCTGTGTTGTGTTCGAAAATGAAAATATTCTGTTGTTTTTAGAAGGTTCTTGTGTTTCTTTATGTTAAAGTTGGGAAAGATGAGGCTGACCATCCCCTGTCGATCAATAACCTGCTCACACCTTCAGTGCTTCGATGCTACACTTTATATCCAAATGAATGAGAAGAAGCCGACCTGGGTGTGTCCAGTCTGTGACAAGAAAGCGCCGTATGAACATCTTATTATTGATGGGTGAGCAGAACACTGATTTATGTCCAGTCTTTGATGGCTTGGTGTCAAAATGCTTCAACTTGTAATTATTTGAGAAAAAATGAGTTGTATTATGTTTTCCAAACTGTAATTGTTCTTTGATGTATTTTGACCTGTTGACCAATATAGGATGTTTTGATTCTCTAATAATTTGAAATACTTTTTAAATTACTTATTTAAATGACACCTGTTGTCTTGCCAGTGCTTACAGCATCATGTCTCTATCATCGTGTCAGTTTAGATCACTTTAGAGGGTTAATTCCTGAAGTTTGTGTAAATATTATCCTTTGATGTTTTCACAGATTGTTTATGGAAATCTTAAACAGCTGCTCTGACTGTGATGAAATCCAGTTCAAGGAAGATGGAAGCTGGGCCCCCATGAAGTCAAAGAAAGAGGTTCAGGAGGTGTCTGCTTCGTACAATGGTGTCGACAGCGGTGTGTAGCCTGCACATCAAAGCCTTAAAGTCACATTTACAGTGTGTTCATTGAGCGCCTCGTAACTTGGTTCTTTTTGTCTGTAGATGTGTCTAGAGCAGAGAGTCAGGAGCATAAACGAGGATCATCTCAAGACAACAACAAGAAAGTTGATGTGATTGATTTGACACTGGACAGCTCCTCAGAAGACGAGCAGGATGACGAACCGCCTCCCAAAAGGGTGTGTCCCTCACTGTCACCTGTGTCTCCAACTGCAAACAAAGGGTAAGCTTCCAACTCAGAAAGTGTTCAGTCAGATGAGCTGAACAGTTTTGTTTTAGCTTGTTTGTGCTCGGTTCTTTCTGGTTCTTTCTTTTCTCTCTGACCTTGTGCTATATTGTGTTTTTTCCACAGAGTGCTGAACCTGCACAGTCAACCATCACCTGTGGCCAGAGCTCCCAGCATGCCCCCTGTGGAGACCAGCTACATTCCTCCTCCGCCACCTCTTATTCAGGACTACCGCCATTATTATCACACAAGTGACTTGCCAGGTAGACCTGCTACAAAAATATATATCTCAATTTTGATCAGTTTGTTAAAGGGGCAATATTATGTGTTTCTCAGGTATACATTTAAATACTACACCATAATAAAGTATCTGTCACCTTTAGCTGTTATTAAAAATATGTTTTTATGTTTAAATAGAAAATAAACTTATCTTCTCATCACTTCCTCTTCTAAACACCTTGAAATTGGCCTCTGTCTCTTTAAGAACCACCTTCCGCTTCTGTCTCACTCATTTCGGTGTGTGAGGGGGTTCGCGCAGTTTACTTGGCATCTGAAAATACATTTCCTCAAAGGTATTTTAATCTGAAAAGAGCTTCACTGAGTGAGAACTAATGTTAGGAGCTCAGCAGACAGTTTCAGTTTCACTTTGACCTGAGAGCCTGTAGGAGTCATGGGCGGGGTGTGTGTGTGTGGGGGGGTGAGCGCTCTGCCATGAGGAAGTTCAGCTTAAAGACACGTCCCAGGGGCGTTTCTGGTCCCTACCTGTCGTTTTGCTCCTCAGCATGGCTTCCTAAAAATGCTGCAGGATTTCTCAAACATGCATGAATGAGTCAGAGCAAGGCTTTGGGCATGTTTTTTTTTACAAGAGTTTAACATTATAACATGATATAAAACTCAAAAAAGTTGATTTTACATGATATTGCCCCTTTAAATTCAGTTGTAAAAGGTAAAAATGATCAGGGGTCGGATGTATAAAACTGGCGTACGCACAATATGAGCCCAGAAACTTGCGTACGCCATTTTTTACGCCAAGGTTGTGATTTATAAAATCCAAACTTGACGTGAAAATGTGCAGTGCCTCACGCCAGCTTTGACCCATGTGTACGCTCATTTTGGAGACGTGAAGCTGCGACACAGATGGTGAAGTGAGGAATTAGAGCCACACTGTGTCATGATCACTGTCAGATTTAATTTAACTTCAGAATCAGACTTAGATTTTTATTCAACTTTATCATCAGCTTTCTTAACAGTAATAATATTTATGTTTCTGCTGCTGAGCCATGAAGGCCTTTGAAATAAAAAAAACTTAAATCTTAAATAAAAGTTCCCGTGCGCAACTCCAT